TTGCATTGGATATTGCAAGGATAGTGCATTGGATACTGGCACTGGATAGTGCAGGATCAGGTTGGATGGCGCTTGGAGCAACCTGGGATAGTGGAAAGTGTCCCTGCCTATGGCAGGGGGGTGGGACTGGATGGTCTTTAAGGTCCCTTCCAATCCAAATCATTCTATGATTCTATGATTCTATTAAATATTCATGTCATGCACAGCAAATCTGCTTCATAAGGGCACACTCCCTGTCACACTGAAGGGTCGAAGCAATAAAAGCTTTTTTTTAAAGTCAAAGCTTTTTTTAAGCTAAATTGTGAAGATTATGTTGTCTGTACTACAGAAAGACAAAAACACCTTCTGGTAACCCTGAACCATTAATAATTTCCTAATGATGAAGAAAACTGAAAAGTTATCAAACAGATGGAAAATCCAGCATTTAATAGAAAGAATTACAAATCAGAGCAGGTTCATTTTAGCCACGAGCTTTTCCAGTCACCGGTTACCACACACCTGAGATCCTCCCAGCATAACCTGCATTTCCAGCTATGACACACCAATAACAAATTTTCTCACCATTTCCACACTGGCTTGTGTGGCAGAATAGAAGAACAAGCAGCCACCGTATTGCACTGCTCTGAGCTAAGCACCATTATTCCATAAAAACAGAACCTGGGAGTAATGGATGAGACTCAAACCCCTCCATTCTCTCTCCCACAAATGCTGACCTGCACATGCATAAACTCCAAAGTACAAGCACACACATAAACACCTTTAAACAGTGAATATAATCACTGGGAGGCACAGAGTGACAAGGTCCAGACCTTACAGGACACTACACACTAAAAATAGTCTGCAGCTTTCAAGCAAGGGAGAGTAAAAATAGAGAAGATAAAATTTAGCTAAAGGTTCTCTTGGTCAACACAAAAAGTCTCCATGCTGAGAAGATCCCAACCAGAGTTGGCAGAGAGGCAGGGATGTTACTGAATCCAATGGGAAAGAAAAACTGTGATGGCCAGAGTGCAGCAGATGTTTCTTGCAGAATCAAACAGTTGAAAAAAACACCCTAAAGTAAAAAGGCAGCTGATGGTTTTTAGTTCAGAAGTTGTTTTAAGCGATACACAGAACAAAAACAGGACAAGAGCAAACAACCTGAAGTTGCACTGGGGATGTTTGGATATCAAGAAAAATTTCTCCACAGAAAGGGTTGTCCAGCCCTGGCACAGCTGCCCAGGGCAGTGTTGGAGTCCCCATCCCTGGAGGGATTTAAAAGCCCTGTGGATGTGGCACTTGGGGACATGGGTCAGTGGTGGCCTTGGCAGTGCTGGGGGATGACTGGACTCAATGATCTCAGAGGGCTTTTCCAACCCAAACAATTCTATGGTTCTATAATGCTGGAGAAAAAAAAAGAGCATTCTGTTCTTAGTCAACATAATAATTTCATAAAAAACATTTAAAGTTCAGTTGAAGTTAGAGAAGAAAAGTTCCATCTTTGTTTTCTGACACGATTCGACTTCAGCTCCCTGACATGAAAGGCCATCACCTCATCCAAGCCAGGGAAAACTGGTGCACAGTCCAACCTCCCACACCGCCAGAAGCACCACAGATTTGAGACTACTCTGGCAGGAAGAGCATAAAGAGAAATTAGTTTCACTTCTGGGAGAATAGTCCCGTTCAGGTAAAAAAAAAATTAAAATAATATTGACCTTACCACACAGCTGAATGGAGCTTTTTCCCTTCGGTCTGTCATGGAAACAACTTCACATAAATCCGGCTATCAGATGCAGTAATTGCTCAAAGATTTTGCACAATTACTAAAACAAGGGCAACAAATATCAGGTGTAAAGTGCTCCATTACCCAACTTTTCCCAGACTTGTTTGGAACAGGCCCAGACATTCACCAACCCCCCAAAAGGGAGCTGTGTCCGTGCACAGCTGTGGTTCAGGTGCAGCCCTCTGACAACATTAATCAATAATATAATTCTCCTGAAAAATAGCACACCAGATTTAGGGCTCAAACGCAATGAAAACAAGGTTCACTGAATATAAATAACATCCAATTAACTGGAATGGTTGGGAATATATTTATCTTTCTTATGGCAATATAGAAATCAGCCCATTTTCCAAATACACTGCACAAGGGATTCGATTAATCACAAGTTCAAGAAGAATAACACAGACACGATTATTATTATTTTCTACATAAACTGCACTAATTAAAACTACCTGGAATTTTATCTAATGACTTGTTTATTTTATAGATACAGGCACTTAATTTTACTGAGTGATGCTATATAAAAAAAATACGCAAAATCATTAATCAATTTTTTTTGTCTGCCTTACAACATATTGTTCCTGCCTTTAAGTCACTCTAACAGCATCTTAAATTTATTGGAAAAAAAACCACAAAACATGCACTGCAATTCAAAACTGTCTTTTCACAGCAAATCTAGGACAAAAATGTGTCATACTGAGGGAAAACATAATCAGTCACGAACAATCTGCAACAGCAACACTCACCATTATTTTGTGTTATTGTTAAACCTCTGCAATAATAAATAACGGTCCAAAAATACAAAGATTCTAAAAGGTACAACCACTGCACAGCTCTGGTAATAAAGGCACAGCTGTAAACCAGCCACCCTGCTATTTAAAATTCCTGGGCAAAACTAATGAAAAGAACCACAGATTGACATTAGAAGATTTAAATCTTAGCAAAAGAGCAAATGTCATCTTCAAAAACTAGACACAAGTCCTTCATTTTTTTCCTCCCTGTGTTCACATATCAGTATTTTTAATGTTTTTCCAAAAAAATAATTGCATGGATGTTGCTGGTTTATAGTTGAGATTTATTTGTGTGTTTTTTTTTTTTCTTTTCTCTCCTTAACTTACATAATTTGCATTCATATCTGTATTTAATTAGCACTCAAAACCACCAGAAACAAAAACAAAATATATCCCACCTCCTTATGGGCTCCAAAAGTTTTATTTTTCAGCCATACCTAAAATATCATGAAATTGCAGTTAAACCATTCCTAAAAATGTGATTCTTTCTTCTTATAAAATCCATCCACAAATAAAACAAATAAATTTGCAAATAAAAAAAAAATAAAGTTACAATTCACTTGAGTTACTGTGCATGAAGGTGAGAGTAAGAGACAGTAACCCTTACTCTTGTAACCCTTGTGAATATGTTTTAGTTATACACTTCCTTATAAAAATTTCATAGAATTAAAAATTTTAAGATTTATAGTAAATAAAGGTTGACTACTATAAACTCTCAGAAAAAAAAAATTAGCAATGAATACAATTACCTTATCCTTTCAGCTAATTGTGACACTGAAGCCAGAGAAAAGAAACACATTTCAATTATCAATTTCAATATTGCTGAGAACAGAAATTCTAATATTTTTTTTCAATCACGTATTTCTTAGAAAAATCTCAGTAAGGGCAAGTTGATGAAAGACATGTGGAAGGTATATCTTTTATTCTTTAACCATGACAACAAGCACTGGGAACACGAGTACCCCAGCAAGCTCCAGTCTTCTTACACCTCTGACAGCCAGACAAAAGTTTTAATTAGTTTCCTAGTTCAGGGCTTCCTAGAATAAATGCAATTCTGTCATTTCTAATGTGTTCTCACGATCAGTTAATGGATTTTAGGATTTTTTTTTTTTTTTTTGCCTCCAGTTCAGACAACCTCCTTGTGTTATAATTTCTTCTAAATCAATTCTTAGGTTATCCATATTTTCTCATCTGGAACACTAATGAGCCTGTCTAAGATTCAGTTTTAATGCACCTTTCTCTTCTCCTGACTCACTGAGGTGTTCTTTTTCAAACTCACATCACATTTCTGTAATACTCTCCAAAATTTCAGTAGAAGCCAGTTGATTTGCCACCATTTGAAAATCTGTCAGTCTTGTGCCTATATATACACCGAGTTCAGAGTCAGTTCCCAAATACACTCCCCCAGATAACAAAGACTAAATTATCACTTTTGGAGTTCTAAGACTTGTGTACAACCATTTCCAGTTTTCCAAGCATTCCCCAAAATCATACACAGCTTGGAGAACAAGAGGGGTGCTCTGAATATTTAAGTGTGAATGCCAAATAAAGTATGAATTTCTCTTGGTGGTGCTAAAAATCACAGCATTGGGCAAATTTTGGCTGTACAGGACTCGGGATGTCATCAACTCCAAACTCCTGGTCAAAACTGCTCTCCAATTCCCTGACACGAGGCTGTAGCCAGGGGGGGATTGGCCTCTTCTCCCAGGGAACAAGAGGCCGGACAAGAGGAAACAGCCTCAAGCTGTGCCAGGGGAGGTTCAGGCTGGACATCAGGAAGAATTTCTCCAGTGAAAGGGTTGTCAAGCATTGAAAGGGGCTGGCCAGGGAGGTGGTGGAATCCCCATTCCCGGAATTGTTCAAAAAACAACCAGACGTGGCACTCAGAGCTGTGCTTCAGTTGACAAGACGGGGATTGGTCAAAGTTGGACTCGATGATCTTGGAGGCCTTTTCCAACCTAAATGATTCTGTGCTTCTGTGAAAGGAGGGCTGCCTTCAAAGGCAGATCTGGTTGCTCAGGAACTTTTGCAGCAAAGTTCTGTTGCATTTTGGGCCATTAAATCTCTCTCTTCTATCCAGTGACCCATATTTAATGACTCAGGGAAGAACTTCCCATCCCTATGGTTTCTTTGCTAAGCAGCACACACATGAATCTACAAGCAGACTTCAGACTTCGAAATGAACGGGATTAATTTATTTATTTGCCACGATAAAGTTTCAAATTAGATGTTCTCTTTAGGAAGGAAAATTGCTTTGAAACTTCCTGAGGAGATCCAAATCTCTGCACGTGGAACGTGCACATGGTGTCTTGTGGAGGCTGTCACTGCACAGGCAGATTGCCATCGAAGCCCAAACAGGGGTAAACGAGATACTATTCTTGACTTGACCAGACTGCAAATGCAATTTTAGGCATTGCAAAAAATAAAAAGCCCTTAAACTGGGATCATCGTTAACTTATCTGAGAAAAACAGAAAGAGCAGCTGAACAACTTAGGCTGAAAATGCAACGGATAAACACAATCTGAAGGTAACACATTTCTCATCGCTTGAAGCTTCCATGGTTATGTTTGTGTGGCTCACACAAAACATGCTTTAGTCAAACATCTACTGGATTAAAGTACGGGGAAATAAGTAAAACTACTTATTTCTCTAATACAGGAAATTAAACTACATGTTCAAAAAGGGGGGTTTATATGTTCGTATTATCTAGAAAACCATGAAAAGAAGAAATCAGAACGAAGATATTCATAAACACTGAATAAAGCAATAACCCAATAGTTCTCTTGACAGCATTTTATTTTCTCTAGTCTTCTTGACAAGCTGCTGAAATAGAAATACCTTTTTCCTCATCAAAACACACTCTTGAGAACCGAAGTTGTCATCATTGAAGAAAACCATGCCTTGTAGTTCAGCTTGTAATTTCCTGATTTAAACTTGCTGAGGCACTCCTTCAAACACAAACCTAGCTAAGCCCAGTTAATCCAAGCAGGTTGTGAAACTAAGAATTTACAATGGCATTTTAACTTGTTGGCTGCTGGATTCTTCTCTGGGCAAGTTGCTGGAAAACAAAGTGAAAAGAAAACACGAAATTCCCTCGCAGAACACCCAGTAACCTGCTCATCCTCCAATAGGTTGTGGTGCACAGCAGCTTCAAATGCTCTACCAATGCTGGTATCAGAATAACTGAGCGCTTGTAACCTCATTTTTAGCTAGTTTTACAATGAATTCAGGATTTTAATCTGTCTTTCATATCAACAGCAAAGTTATGAAGGTTTGCAATGAAAGTTAATTACCATGTTATCACATGAAATGAAACATCTCTCTGCCTTTGAGTCTGTAATATGTGTACATGGTTAGAGACTTTCATGTTCAGGATAATTTGTGGAAAAATAACTTTTTTTTTTCTTTTTTCAAAAACAAAGAAAAAAGACTAAGTGTCATTTCTTTACACAGTGACTCACTTTAGGAGCAGAGGAACCATGCAGATACATCATTTTTGGGGGGAATTAAAGAAGATTTATTCTTAAAACAGAGACATCAAGTCTGTTCTCACACTCAAGTGAAGGCCTGCATTTCTGTCCTGCAGACCAATGTCAAGATCCACAATGTCAAGATCCACAATGTCTACAAGAAAACTGTTAGTACCAGGTGGATGGACAGATGGGGATAGCTGACATTCATTTTTAATATGAGCATTCCTAGAAGAAAAATGACTTCTGTATGCATTTTAAATACTGCTCAGGAACAGAAAGGCACCAGGTCTCTACATCCTCCCAGTGATGGCAGCATGAAATGAAAAAGGTTTTAAGGGTTTCTGCAATTTGGTTGGTTGGTTTTGTTTGGGTTTTTTTGAATCTGTCTTCCGTGGTGCAATAACAAACCAGGAGCATGTGCTCAGTCTTAGACTGACTGTTTCATGAATTTCTAAATTGCTTTAAGATAGACCTAAGTAAATAGTTGTTGCTACTGTATTCCTGCTCAAGCTTTGAGACCATAAATTATTTAGAACAAGAGCTCCCAAACATGTTTGAACAGAGCTTGCCACCAGAGAACACGAACAAAAACTGCTCACGTTTTTATCATCAAATATTATTAAGATAATTACATGAAATGAGTAAATACAGCATCAGGATAAGGGAAGAAGCAAAACAAGTCAAAGATACTTGCCTGGGTAACGAGTGGCTCCAGCAGCCTCTCCACTGTGAGAGTCCTGATTTCCAAACTTTTGGGGTCCCATTTCAAAATGATAGGTGATGTTGCAGAAGTCATACTCCCTGGAACAGACAAAGTTACACAACATCCATGAAAATTATTAGTGTAATATCCAAATACTGCATATCATTTAGTTAGAGAATAAATATATACATTCACATATAAAATAAACCTCCATAATTTTGCTAGTGTTCCTCTACTCCCAAGAACTCCCAGGTGCACCGTTGCCGTACTCTCTGAGGGCTTAAACATTTATATTCAGGATTCTTTTTCCTCCTGTAGCCCTTAAGAACAGATACTCCAACACCACAGCAGATGGATATGTCCTGAAGGAACTGCACCCCATGGAGGGTGCATGCAGGGAGCAGGTTTATCCTGAAGGAGCGCAGCCAAAGAGACAGAATTCAAACTGGTGCACGGGAAAAGTGTGAGGAAGGATGGGGAGCATGTAGGACTCCAGCCCCTGGAGCTGTTGGCTCATGGGCTTGGCAGGGAGTTTTACTTTAATAGAGATATAGGGGTTTTTTAATACCTCAAGATGGAGTCAAGAGAATAAACCACGGACTTGTTCCCGATGGATCTCTTTATTAATTTAGAGGAGCAAACAAGGGAACTTGGCCAAAGTTCAAAAGGACACCACACAAGCTACACAAAAATGTTTCACCACAATACTGACTCAGCATACACTATTAATTCACAACTCCTAAATCAAAATCCAACCAATCCATGACTCTTCAGTCAAGATCCAACAAATCCACAACGCTTAAGTCAAGATCCAATCCCTCCAGCTCCAAGCCACCCTGAGCATCAAGAAAGGAGCAAAGAAAGAGAAGCAGAGGGGGCAAGAAGAGAAAAGGAGAAAGAGGAAGAGACAGACCATAGAGCTACCACTGACACTTTGTAGAAGACCAGCTCTCACATGTCCAAGTGGCAGGGCTCTGACACGAGGCAAACACGTGCCTGAGGTTTTATCTGCTCTGGTCCCTGTGGACAACCCCTCCAGTCGGGGCCTCTGACCCACCACCCACTCTGGGCTTCCAGGTCGGTGTGAGGGCACCATCCTCACTGCCCCAGTCTGAGCTGGGTGAGGAGCTCCAGGAGCTGTGGGGTGTTATAGTTTTCCCAAGCTGCCTTTGACTGGCAGCTGCTCCAGAGTTTCCCTGTGTGGGCTCCAGGGGCTGCCATAAGGGACGTGACGCCATCCCCACCTCCGTGAGGTTGCACCTATCCCTTCCCCTTTCACACACACACACTCCCCACAAGGTGGTTCTGACCCAATAATCACTGACCTGGTGTCTAACAGAGTGTCATGAACCTACTGCAACCCCAAAATCCCCCTGTGCTGCTCAGAGTGGGAGAAGGAAGCAGAAGAGCCAGAAGTGGAGACTGGGTAAAAACTCAGGGCGGAGGAAGGTGGTTTAGATTTTGCCCTTTTCTTCCCTTGCAATCCCACCCTATTTTAATTAGCAATAAATTTTAAAATCATTTTCCCCAAGTCTGTTTTGCCTGTGACAGTGATTGGCAAATGATTGCCCTGACTTTGAGGTTTCCAAACCTATGAGGTTTCCATCCTATTTCCTCCCCCTGTCCCCTGTCAAGGATGGGGAGGGAGGAGCAGCTTGGTGGGCACTTGGCTGCCAGAAAAGGTCAGCCTACCCACATGTGGAATAAAACAAATTCAACAGCTCTGTTCATGGTTTTGAACAGAATTTCCCCACGTTTTTCAGCGTTTCTTAATGCTGCATCAAAAAGAGCAGAACTCATTTAAAACCGAAAAGGATTCTCCAGACCACCTGAGACTTAAAAGCTTAAACAAGGCCTAAAATGAAGGCAACAGCAAGTTGCTGTCAGGTTTTTTTTTTGTTTTTTTTTTTTTTTTTTTTTTTTTTTTTTTTTTTTTTTTTTTTTTTTTTCCATTTCAGGTTTTTATGCAATTTTCTAGACAGTTGACTTCATTTTTGAAATTCCAGGTACAGAGAAGCCCAGCTGTCAGGTTGTAAGAGACAACAAATGCACCTCATTGAGCTGGAAAGTGATTTTGTAGAGGTATTTCGTGACAGGCAAAGCCACATGTAAACTAACTTGTCAATAAAAAACAAGAAGACAGAAAAGTTTGATGAAAAAATGTTCATTTTAAGTAACTCTGGTTTAAATATTTACCTCTATTTTAAAATGAAAATTAAAAAAAAAAAAAGGCCAATGAGAACTCCAACAGGGAAAGATAATCCAATAGTATCACATTGGACATTGCTTAGGTGAGATTCAAGTCAAGCCCTCAGAATACAATATTCCAAAAGTTTTAAATTGTTTTCTCCAGAAAACTATGTTTAACCAACAAGGTAATTTAGGTAATAAAACGTAAAAATAAATAAATAAATACTCCACCACCGCAATTAAGTGAACACAATCAAAAGATATTCAGCTATTGCTCCTTGAATCACAATCCACTTCGTAAAGCTCTATTCAATAAGGTGCATTCTCAGGACTCAGCAACATTATCTAGTACCTACAAAATAGACTCTGCTGCTTTATTCAGGAGAATGTCTTGACTGATTACTATCAATCGAAATTAAAGTCTCTGCAAAACCCATTCATAGGCTGCAAAAGATTCTGTGACAAAATATTTGCTCAAAGAGAGGCAGATCAGAACTCCTTAATCAATGTATTTATAAATCACGTACAAACCCCACCCTCCAGGTCTTCTTATTTGCAAACACTCGGTGACAGAAATATCTGATAATATCCAGTGTGTGCTACAATCATTATTATTCAGTTTCCACCCTTCTGCAAAAAAATCCTTAGGTTTCATGTCAGTCACCCAGATGTGACTAAAGAAAACTGCCAGACAGTTTCTGGTTGCTCTAAACACGACTGATGTGGGAGCCAAGCCCTTTTTTGCAGCAGACAATATTTATTCATCTCTCAGAACCCGTTTCCTTTTTATATAAGGATGGTTGACACTCCAGTTGGCCTCTGGATTCAAAAAAAATAAGTCTGAAGTAGACAATTATTCTAGTCAATAATTTATATGAGTTATGACACTTTCAAATGGGTCACATGGTCTTTCTTTTTAATAAGCTCACTTTTCCCCACTATTACCATGAGTACTCAAACATACACTTGTCATAATAAAAAAGTAAATTCAAAGCTGTAGCACAATCCAAAGCCCACAAAAGCAAATTAATTTCAGTGGATGACAAGCACACAGGTGATACCAAAGATAACCTGGACAATCAGTTGTTACAATCAGAACATGGCCTCAGATTCAACCTTTACTACAAAATAAAACAAATATCCTTCAGAACTCAATATAAAAGGGTGAGCAATGCTTTCAAATACAAAAAGATATATACGAGAAAAAGCCTTATTAAAAACTCCTAAGATAGTTTTTTATTTGCAAGAAAATCTACCCCACAACAGCAAATAAGTAAAAACAAGTCAAATTAATGCATTTTCCTCAACAGTCCTCCAGCTGCTGTTGCAACAGCAATTTTAAATGACAAGACTAAAAAGAAGCTACCTGCCCAAGTGTGTGTTTATGAATAGATAGAATATTTCTTCCTTGACATATCTACAATGAACTTCCCAGACCAAAGAGGTGAACAGGGACTGCTCAGCTGGATAAAGGACAGGATGCTAAGAATATCTTACAACTATTTGACCAAATAATCCTCAAACAAGCAGCTTTAAGCACTCCAATGAAAACATAAATTGCTTCATAGCTTACACCTGGCTTGGATTGTGCAGTACCTGGGAGGAAGATAACCTCTGTGAGCAGAGGATAATGGCATCCCATAATATTTTTCATATAAAGATAAAAGCATATTATGGTAGAGAGAACATTGGCAGATGTAAGTAAAAGATTTCCTTTCCTATTACCTTCTAGACTAGACTGATACTACTATTTTCATAAAGAGCTTAATTTTTCTCTTTCCTCATTTATTGTCATACTGACCACTTAGTGTCATTTTTTGAATGCTCAGCAACATATTTAGGAAACCAATCCATTCCTCTTCCAAATGGGAAATGAGATTTCTTGTCTGAGTCCCAGCCTCTGTAATTCAGAAACGTGTACTGATTGTTCTTCGGGGTAAATCCCATGGAATAAAAATTCACTTGCTGATTTTATGACTGCAGAGTTAAGGAAACATTTTTAGCAGAAAGCTTCTGTGAAACTTAATCTCTGCTTTTCACCTGTTTTCAACAGGCTGAGTGTGATTATTAACCCTACATTTTAAAACTGATATTGTTAAATAAGGAAACTATGTCAATAGTGCTGTAATAATACTGCTATAGAAGTGTACAGACATTGCAGTCCTAACCCTGAAACCATCTCCACACTTTTTTCAAGAATATATTTAAGGAATTCTATTGCCTAACTTTGTTTTCCACCTTGAGCATGTGCCAAAATGTCTCTTTAAAGCTTTTTAGCTTTTCCTAAATACAGCAACAGAGAAATGTCTCTATCCAGTTCAGTAACGTTCAGTGCGAACATTTGTTCAGGCAGTTTGTCTTAAAAGCCTATCTGTAAAGAAAGTAAGTATTTACTTTAGTAAATGCTAACAAGCATTTACTTGAACAAGTGGAACAAGCAGATTCCTATATTAGAGCCAGATTCTGCATCAGTGGAATTCTTCATTTCATAACAGTCACCAAAAAATCTGACCCCACACCACCCCTATCACCAACCTTTTCACACAGCAGGACTTTACTTTTTTGGAACATTCTACAAAGGCAAACTATTCTGCACGTGGAATTGTTTGTCTGTCACACCACAATGTAATGTTTTCCTCTACAATAGATCCACTCTCCTTGTGACTGGCACAGACTGCATTCCCATGGTCAAAGCCGCTCCCAGGTGACAGCTCAGCTCATTTCTCTGCTGAAACTCCAGTGTAACAGTAAAGATATTTTAAATCTACATAAGCAAAAGCAACATTTTGCTGAAGCAAACTGATAATCTTTTAGAAATAGAAACATTGCCAGTCTTGAGCAGGCCTCCAGTTATGAGTCCAGCTCAAGTCTGCAATGCAGAACAGTGCAGACATGAAGGGCAGATGCT